TCTCTCTCTCTCTCTCTCTCTCTCTCTCTCTCTCTCTCTCTCTATATATATATATATATATATATATATATATATATATATATATATGAGGAAGATATTCAAAATATAAATTATATCATTTATTTTGTTTGCAGTTTAAGCTTTTAGATATAGTGATATTGAACAAAATCTTGAGATACATATGAATACCATCATAGAATCATATCACTACAAAAAAAAAAATTTGGGTGATTAAATCAAGTTTCGTAATATATTCCTTTGTTTTGAAAGATTAATAAGTCACCAAGGACGACCTCTTCCATCAAACAACAAAAGTAAGATACAATCAAAGGAGAATTTATTAGAAATTCTTCTTCCATGTAGCTATCAAATCTCCATGAAGCTAAAATTTGAATTCCATGCCCTTTCTTTTCTTATATGCTAAATTATTGAGTTCACAAAAGGAAGCCAAATTGCTGTGTGTGTAGTTTTGGTAGTGACATGTACCAAAAGGGACCGCTCCTCAATGGAGGGATTAGATGCTTAATGGTGAGTAAGAATCTCCATCCTTTGGCCTTCTCTTTCTAGTATCTTTTTCTCCCTTCTCATGCCAATTGTCTATCTTTTCATAATTTAATTCAAAATGATATATTACTCTCTTTTTTTATATATCCTAACATGTCTCCATGTTTATTTCTTGTTTTAGATAAATTTACATCCATTTTACTAGTATTTGATTTTTATATGAATTATACATATGCCTTAATACTTGAAAGATTTGCAATAACAAAGAAAATTGATATGTTAAAAGATATGTTCTATTATTATGCACTAATCTTGAACCGTATTACACTAATATATTTCACTAACTATCGACCATCAAACAATTATCAGAAATTTATAAATTCAGAACTATGGACATATGGATCAAAATCGATTCGAGTCATTTTACATCTAATGATTGTCTTAATTTTTAAGAGTATTTTATAAATTTCCAAGAAGGGGGTTTATCTAATAAAATCTTAAAATTTGAGATTTTTCCTTATAAATCATCCCAAATATATGTAGCTCAGCATCATCATGTAATTTTGTAAGTTAAATTTTAGAAAAGATTGAATGGTAATATTTAAAGCAAGGTTTGCTTATACAAGAAATGGGCAGAATAAAAAGTGGAAACATATTGCTGGTTTTCTAGATTTTTGGCTGTCAAATTTGACATAGTTTTGCCATTATAAATTCAACCAATGCTTTTGTTGACTATGATGAACCATTTCATAAATAAAGTCAAGCATGAGATGTTCCTTCTTCCTTTCTAAAAAAGGGGAAAATGTTCAACAGATGATAGTTTCTGGAGAAAACATTGAATTCAAATAAAGGACCAATTATTAGTACAATTTTGTCTACATAAAATTTTCAGTGGAGACTGTATCTGATATCCCCCCTTCAGCATATACTTTTGATGTGGATGTGAAGCACTGCAGAGTTTTCTTTTCTTGAAATCAATTGCAAATACATAATCTTTTACACACCTTCCTAAACAATAGCAATTCATTTATGCTATAATTTGACTTCTCATAAGGTTTGAACAGGCATTTAATGTCAATGATTTGAAATTCTAAGAAGATCATAAGTAAATCAGGCACCTACTTTTCTTCTATTTCTTCTCCAATTGAAACAAAGCATCCTATTTATGAAACTACTTTACTTTACCTACAGCTAATTAAATAGATTTTTATTTCTTTTAAAAAGCATCAAATGACTTTTTTCTTCAGAAAACTTTTTTTCTGAATTTTTTTCCGAATTATAGTCATTTCAGACAAATGGAAAAAATATGCATTATTTTCATATGTTTATATGTATATATTCTGATATCTGCCTTAAAAAAAGTATAAATGGGAAAATAATTCTAATATGAGATTTGTATCAAAGCTACATATCTAACCTAATAAAGTATAAATGAGAAAACAATTCTTAGATAAAATTTATTCTAGATCCATTTTACCAAAAATGAGAGTTCCAAATCTCACAATAATTCTTTTTTGAAACCTGAAGTGTCAACATTGAATTATGTTTCTGCTACTTATTTTTTGAAAAAAAAATCCAAAATAAGAGCACCATAAAAAATAAATCTTCAAAACATATCATAATTCACAAAGCATGAGAAATCCTTTCCATTCAATGTAGGAATAGGATAATAATACTACATGTCTCATCTTTGTCAATTTGGCTATCTGGTAACCATGTCAGTGGTAGAAAAAAAGGAAGGGGGGGGAAGTATCTGGCAAACCAACCCAGGTTAGGTTGCAGAGGTGAATCCCACCACCAATTTTTATGTTCCAAGATAAGGAAGGAGGAGGACAAGCTAAAGCTGTTGATTTTGTTTGAACCAAGCTTCAAAGCCAAGGAAAAAGATAGAGAGAAAAAGAGAGAGAGAGAACAGATGCAAAAGAAAAGGAAGGTCAGTCACAAAATAAGCAGCACCAAATGATAAAAGACTCCAAGAGGAGGAAGAGAAGGAGGAGGAGGAGGAATCCCCTCCTCCCTTTTCTTTTCGAGTGTCCGAACAATTGACAACCAACAACCACCAAAAGCTATCAACTCAATTCAAGAAAAGAAAAAGGAAGGAAGAGAAATAAAATAAAAAAGAATGGAAGGGATTAGTCACAAATGAATCCAATTAAGGAGAGTGGATTAGTGTTAATTATGGTTAGCAACTCCTCGTTCCAGAGAAGCCCAGCACATCCAGCTCTATTATCTTTACCCCTCCTCCTCTCCCTCTGTCTATAATATACATGTGTGCGTGAGAAGTGCTTGCGAGAGGGAGAGAGGGGGAGGGGGTGGGGGTGGGGGGGAGCATAAGAAGGCCGTTCTGTCTTTGAGGCACCTCCTGTTTGATGCGGAGAAGCGTTGGAAATGAGATAGGAGAAGTTTTCCTTGGTTCTTGTCGCTGATTCTTCTTTCTCCTCGTTCTACCGAATGGCACTTCAAGCCCAATACCCATCCAACTTTGTGCTCAGGTGCCTTTCCGTTCTCCTCGGATGAATTCTTCGCCCAAGTCCTAATCTTTATGGAATTATGCGGTCGATTGTTACGGATTTGGTGTAAAGTTCTGATTTTTAGGGGGTGATTGATGGCTTGTGGAATTGATGCAGAAGGGAGCAGGAGAGGAAAGAGATGGAGTCTGCTCCGCAGGTCGCGACTGGCTTCCTCGGCCAGTCGGCGGTGCTCGTGACCGACGGAGGTGAGATAAAGGTTCCTCCTTTTTGTCTTTGTTGGATTCGTCGATTTCGATCTGTTCCTTCGATGTCTGAGATGGAGATGGGCTTGTTGGTTGGCAGCGAATGGTAATGCGCAGAAGAGAAGTAGGGAGGCTGCCGGCATTCCATTGGCGCCGCCGCCTCAGCAGCAGAATCACCCTGTTAGCCTCATCTCTCTGCAAGCACAACCCTGCTCTCCAGCACTTGTAAATCTTGCTCCTCAGCACCAAATACACCAGCCTTCCCTGCTTACCACCTGTCTTGGTCTCGCCTCTGAGGACAAGCAACACCACCGGAGCCCGAAGCAATTCAATCTCTTCTCCTCCTCCCCTGCCTCTTCTTCTTCCTGTTCTTCTCTCTTCTCCAGCGAACTCGCCGCACAAATCAACCATCAGAATAACGAAATCGAGCAGTTCCTCCTCGCCAAGGTACCCATTTTTCTTTCTTTCTGCTGTTCCTTTTTCTCCTCCTGAGACACAGGAAAAATTGCCCCTTTATTTACATTTGTAGGGAGAACAACTGCGGCGGGCGTTGGCGGAGCGACGGCAGAGGCACTACCGTGCTCTGCTGAGCGCAGCGGAGAAGTCGGCCGCGCGGCGGTTACGGGAGAAGGAGGCAGAAGTGGAGCGTGAGGCCAGGAGGCGCGCCGAGCTCGAGGATCGCCTCGGCCGCCTGCGCACCGAATCTATGGCGTGGCAGGCCAAGGCCATGGCGGACCAGACGACCGCCGCAGCGCTGCACGCCCAGTTGCAGCAGGCGGTCGCGGCGCGTCCTCCCCCAGCGGCAGGTGGCGAGTGCGGAGACCCACCGACGGCGGAGGACGCCGAGTCAGCTTACGTGGACCCGAATCGAGTCGAGCACGAGGTGGCATGCCGGACGTGCCGATGGCGCCGAGCGTCAGTGGTGCTCCTTCCCTGCCGCCACCTCTGCCTCTGCGACGCCTGCGAAGCGGCCGCCGAGCTGTGCCCGGTCTGCGCCTGTGCCAGAGCCGGAAGCGTCGGAGTCTTCCTTTCCTGAGATCCCCCAATCTCCACACCTCACCCCCACGATCAACTCCATCATCAGCCGTCCAAATTACAAGACCTTCAAAAAAAAAAAAATCCAAAAAAAAAAGTAATAAAAACCTGAAAGAAGATTAAAAAGAAAGGGGTGACTTTTTGGCTGCGCTTTCATATATTTCCTTACACTTCAATTTTCTTTTATTATTGCGTTTGGGGTCAATCCATATAACATAAATTCTTTTGTTTGGATTACGTGGATAAGCTTAAATTTTGTACAAAGTTGTACCTATTAATTTGCATGAAATAGTTATTCGCGATCGCGTGACTGCGAGCAGGTGTTCCGCGGGTGTCTGGTGTACCTGCAGCACACTGTATGCTTGCTTTAAATAGCTTAGATGTCATCCCTCTTATTTAATCGCGCCACCTCAACACGTGATTTGGTGAGCAGTGATCACATGGCTGTCCACCTCAATAGCGGTATGTAGTGTGTGCCAGATAGGAAGTCTGATGCATATAATTCTGGCCGTCAGTGACATTTAGATGTTTGTGGAGCATGATGATTAGAAATCTAGCTTATATCTTAAGTATTTGACATAATAATTTTGATATAGACGAGATAGATATTAGAGAGAAATGAAGGGAAGAAATTAAATTGAAATTAAGCGGTTCGATCATAAAGAAAAATATGAACCGGCCCAACCAGCTTGCTTTAGTTTTGGTGGTCAGACTGAACCCGGTTTAGTTATGAACCAAGGGAATCATATGCATACAGTAATGCAATTGAACCCGGATAAGTTCCGAATCAAACCGGACCGCTACTCTCCGTTTCCTTTTTATGTTTATGAGTGTGAATTTATATATGTATCATATATGAAGGTTAATTAATTACCAGCATTGTCTATCACGTTTTGGTGCTTTTTTCATGTATGTATGTCTGTCTATAGTAGATAAATCATCATGATTTTTTTTTTTAATTTTGGGTGTCTTTAATTATTTTTTTTTGTAGTTTTGTGATAATCAAATTCTTTCATCATCTATATTTATGGACAATTAGCAGACTAATGAGACATAATAATAATTATTATTATTATTATTATCAGCTTTGTTTTTTCCTTTTTCATTTATGAATTGATTCTGATTTTTGATGTGGCATATTAGTCGGCAATTAAATTAATTAAAATAAAAAAATAGAATTTGAAGGTTTTGATATTGAAGAAGGAAATTAAGATTTTAAGAAATTGTTTATATTGATGATTTTTATGTCACATGGATAGTATGCAGATTTTGTCAAATTAGTAAAAAAAAAAAGTTAACTAATCATAAATGATGGAAGGATTTGATTGCTATAGAACTCTAATCGTGGAAGGATCAATTTAGCAATAAATTGTTTGGGGATCAACTTAAAAGAGATTATAAATGTTGATAGGAATTCTCTGTATGCTTTGAGATGAATCGTTGGACTCTGTATACTATTAGATTCTTCTCTCTCTCTCAATCCTTTGTTAGAGATGATAGAAAAATATTCCTCTCATATGCATATTTTAGGCCCAAAGTTGATCATAAATTTACTATAATTCATAGTAACAAATAATAACATAGTGTCTTCCACAAAACTATTGCCTATATTGTTAGCTACATTGAATCCCAAATGTCTTAAGGATCACATGAGATATGCCAAATATTGGTAAGATAAAACTTGTGATCCTTAAGACACAAGTTTTATCTTACCAATATTTGGCATATCTCATGCCAGATAGCGAGGAAGGGAACCGTGCAGAAGCCCGAAGAATTCAGGGCGTTGCCGCCGGCGCTGCCGGTGCTGCTGCATTATTAGTCGGCAGATTGATGGCTGGCAGCCGGTTTATATTCCTTATTCTGGCACCAAAAGGCTGCATCATTATGTGCATGGAAACGTCACCTTTCACCTAATTTATAGGTTGATGTCGGTGTCGGGATTGCTCATATGCTCTACATATAAACCCCACGCAAAATGCTGTGTGCCGACGCATATCTAATTCTCAGCATTTCTAATAACTAATACAAAAGAAAAAGTACTTTGAACAAAGTCATCTAGTAGTAACGTATTGGACAAAGGTTGGAGGCATTAGAACCATACGAACATGAGAACAAACTCAAAGTTTGATCCCCCAACCTTTCTTTCACAGCTGCAATCTTCTTCTACCACCGACATTTGCACTCTCCCCTAATTTGATGAGGTGAAGCATTCGTCTTCTGGCAGATTTTACTGTCTTGTCTGCAGCTTCTGAGGGTGTTTGAGAATGCTCTTCCACATACTCTTCTTCTCCATCCAAGTCCTCGTGTTGCATTGCTTGTTTTAAGCGCTCCACCACCTCGCTCATCTTTGGACGTTCTCTGGCATGCCTGGATAGGCAGGCATCGGCTAGCATGGCGATCTGCCGAGCAGCTCTTAGAGAATACTTGTTTTCAAGTCGGGAGTCCATTATCATGCTGAATCTCTTGCTCTCTGCAGGAAATTGCTTCACCCAATCCAAGAGTTGCTGTTCATTTTTCGGTCGATTCCGCTCTAAAGAATGCCTGCCGGTCAGGATCTCATACAGAACAACACCGAAGCTCCAAACGTCGCTCTTGGCTGTGAGATGGCCAGTCTCTACGTAATCTGGAGCTGCATAACCATATGTCCCCATTACCTGGTACCACAGAAAACAAAAACCTATCATTTGACATAGTGACAAGTGATTAGATGCCGAAATTACAGTAGCTAATGATAAGAAGCTAAATGCAATTTGCATATATAAAACAGCAAAACTGAAAGAGCTAAATCACAGTTTTGAGTATAAACGATGGAACAGCAGCTAATTAATGATGGAGTGTTGGGTATGTTCTCTTCGATCTTTTCAGCTCCCTCCTTGGAGATCAAGATGATTTAGGCAATGTCATCTTTACCATCCATGAATTCCTACACTACTCCACTGTCATCTTATCGTAAATTATTTTGTATCTCATCGACCAACAACTTGAACTATAAGTTCACAGAGCTTAATAAATTAGAGCGGACAAAATAAGTATGACTTCATGGAAAAGTGAAGTTCAAGGCTAGCAACCATCCTGAAAAATTACACGATTATGGAAACAAAACTTGCTTTATTATACAGTTTAAAGCCGGCATACCGCTGTTGTTACATGAGTGTGACCTGCTGATGGTCCCTCCCTTGCTAATCCAAAGTCTGACAGTTTTGATTTAAACTCTGCATCCAGTAGCACATTAGATGCTTTGAAGTCACGATAAATCACCTGTACAAATAAGGAAAGTTGCGATTAAACATCTGAACATCTTATGCCAAACCACCCGTTAATCTAAGTTTTGTTCCTGAACTTCGAATATTAGTAATTGCTGAAGAAACCAATAATGAAGAAGTTCATATCGAATAAGTGGAAACAACATGAGTAAAAAAAACAGGTATTTAGTATGTAGAATAATACCTGAACTTCTGAACCCTCATGCAGGTATGCCAATCCTTCTGCAGCACCCAAGGCAATCTGTAATCTTTTGTTCCACGGCAGCACAGGATAAGCTCTGTTAAATAAATGTAACTCTAGAGTCTTATTTGGCATATATTCATAGACCAACAGTCTCTGAGCACCTCTTTCACCATTCGCAGCACAATAACCGATGAGTTTAACAAGATTTGAGTGTTCCAGTACTCCAAGAAACTGAACTTCTGCCAACCATTGTTTATGCCCCTAAAAAGTAGAGGAACACCCAGAAAGAATGAGTGGTGCACATAAGTAAAGCAAGTGGAGTAATTCATACCAATTAAACTAATAGATGCAACTTCAGCACTAGATTTATAATTGGACTTTAGACTCTGATGACAATCTAGTGATTGACCTGGCTGACTCTGCAATTTTTACCACCATTAATTGGACCCTTTGTTAGACTGTTTGGGTTTCCTTTTTAAAAGGTGTTTGGTCATCTTCAACTATAAACTTAGTTAAATTAAGTATCTCCAAGAGAGATACTAGATTTTTCCTCTTGCCGGTTCTCTCATTCTAAGACTATAAGAGCTCAAAGTCTCAAAAATAAAATTAAAAATATAACATAAATTCAAGTAGTTGAAACATATCATCATTCTTTTACTAACATCAAAGAAGGCAATGAAATCATGGAGCCAATAATTACTTTCAAAATATAAGTCTGTCAACAACAACAATAAAGTCATAAGTCCCAACTATTTGGGATCAGTTACATGGATCTTTTGTCTTCGCTATTGATATGTGTAAAAAATTATATGTTAAATTCAAAGTACTTAAATCCTTATTTATAATACTTTAAGTTTCACAGTTTTATCAACCATATTAAGGATGTGATCCTGAATCTCTCGAGTACCATCATCCTGAGCCGTGATCAATTCTTTCATTAGTGTATCAGCTAGTGATTTATCAATAGATTTAAATTTATCTTTTATATCCCTCAAATATTCTTGTGCGCTAGTTATAAGCGATAATGAAGTCTTTACATTATCTGCAATTATCATTCTTATGAACATTAAGTTGAGTACATTAGATTTTTCCTAAGTATTTATTTCGATAATTTGTTCTATAGTGCTTTCATCAATCAATTCTGCATGTCTTTCAACAAATTATATTAAGTTAAGGTCTACTACACCCAATGTAAAATATACATACTTTAATTATTCTGAATAATTTGAACTAGAGAATACAAAGATACTAAAAGCATAAGAGTATATAGAAAAAATTATCACTATAAAATATAAAACAACATTTAATGTTTTGAGTTTCGAAAATATAATGAACTATTGATTTCATTCATATTTTACCTTTGAGTGAAATATTGATATATTCAGTATTCACTGAAAATGATTTATGAACTAATATCATCCTTGTGGAATATATAACCTTAAACTACTATAAGAATATCCTAAATAGTATCATCAAGTATCATCGCATAATTATTCAAAATAGATTCTCCTTTAAAATTATTTAAATTTTCTAATTATGTATGTAATTATGATTATTATTAGAACTAAGTCCCTATTTATCTCCTAAGAAATCTTATTATAATTCAACTTCCTTTCTGATGACTGATAATCGTAATCAGAATCTAATCAGATCTATGATATATCTTACACATATGATATATCTTACTCGGTCAAATTAGACCATATAATCTAACATATTGGACAGCATAGGAGTTGACTTATAACCACGTTGCAAGTGACCAATCAAACGGGGTTTGTATGACAGTATGGATACATTAAAAGCATCATCTAGAATGACTAGTTTGCTTATAATTCAACAAGTTAAAAGTTACCTGCAAGCCGTTCGGATTGAGCGTCTTGATCGCCACTGTGATGTTATCTCCCTTCCCATCCAGAGGCTTGATGGATCCTTTGTACACACTTCCAAACCCACCCTCCCCAATCTTCAGCATCCTGCTGAAGTCATTGGTTGCATTTCTCAGCTCCTTGAACTGGAAAACACGCAAGTTGCCGGCCCTCTCCTCGTACAAGTCAGGAATGCTTCGATACGAAGCGACTGAGCCCGAGGATTCACTCCTCTGCTTTGAGACCGACTCCTCGGATCCGTTTGACGACGGTGGGCAGACCGTCGCCGAGCTGGCTTTGGGCTCCGATCTCTGCTGCCGTCTGAACCAGTGCTTCTCCATGAAGTAAGATAGGCACCCCATTCTTCCGAACAGTTGGTGTGCTTCAAGTTGCAACAACTCTTAGCAATGCTTGTATCATCTACGAGCAATGGAAGATTACAATCTGATTTTAACAAACAAAGTTTGGAAAATAAACAGATGAGAAAAAAGAAGGAAAAATAAGCAAAGGAAAAGGAAAAAAAGTTGGAGCGTTTAGCAACGGAAAGAAGAAGAACAGATTGAAAACCGAGCAAAATTGCATCTTTTAGGAGAAGCAAAGAAGATAAGATTGAGCGAAGAAATACCAGAAGAAAGTGGATGAAATAAGACCAAAGAAAACAACTTTTGCAAACGAAAGAGCCGTAATCCAAGTGACGGAACAGGAAAGAGGACAACCTAGGATACATGGGCAGCGATGGATACAATCGCGAAAGGGACAAGCAAACACAAGCGAAGGAAGAGAAAGGACAGGCGCAGTAGTAAGGGCATCGACAGGAGTGGGAGACTTGAAAACCTCGAAGGTAAACAAAAATGTTCTCTCGCCTGCTCCGATTTGGTCTCCGCCTCGACCACACGCCCGTATGAGACCCTTCTGTCAAACGCATCACTTTCTTCGCTGCATATACAAAAGTTGAAACCATGTCAAATCCCACTCCTTTGGTCTCTACGAAGACTTCAGTGGCCATCAAAGACCTCCAAAGGAGAGACCTTTCCCGTGACTACCGATCTACCCAAGCATTCAATAAAGGCGGGCTTCTTCATCTCATTCTCCCATCCCTTTCATCCCCTTTGGTTGAACGGAAAATGGAACGTAACGAAATCTCAAAGATGACTTCTTTCAAGGACGATCGATAAAAATAACAGTTGTTCTGTACAAGTTTGATTCTTGGCGTTAAGGTAAAGGTGAGTTAGGTAGGAAGCCAAAAGAAGGCGACAGTCTCACCGTGTGACTGCCTCTATATATCGTCCGTAGAGAATGACACAAAGGTCCCCGGGGTTGTCTTCCCGATGCTTTGGAAGTTGACTCTACTTTTTTTACTGCAGAAGTCCAGGAGGAGGACGACACAACCTCCCATCGATAGAGCAAGCAGGGCAAGGACGGAGAGGAAAAGAATCTACGACACCGGCGACACCACTAGATAATTGGACGGGATGAGGAAGAGTCGTCCTACCCGAGTTGACTTGACCGGTCTTCACTGTTGTCAGAGTTGCATGGATCGTCGCAAAAGCTGACAATGATACCCGGAGGGCGTGCCACTACAAGATTGAACGAAAGTTGCCATGAGATCCGTGAATGTACAGTGCCATTTGTATCGACGTAGCACCAGTCCAGGCAAGGCACTGCTGTGCTGGGCCACCCAAGCCGCCATTGTTGATGTCCAAGGCTCGGAGATGGCGTGCTTAATCCTCATAACCAGTGTGTCTGTGTGGCTTATATGTTAATAATACTCTTACTCTGCAACTTGTTATCATGTTTGTTTAATTATTTTGAAGAAAAGATATATTCATTAAAATCATGCAAACATCCCCGGGGAGATTCTCTGTACCGCTGCTATCTTCATATATCTTGGTATCCAATCGTGTGGCAGAAATGTTGATAAATATTTTTGGTTGATTTATCAACCAAATAATTCATATAAATGTTCTACTAAAATGATATAACACATAACTGTGTTTAACGTAATAATTGAATGATGCTTCCCTTCAAAAAAAGAAGAGGAGCGAGCTTAGAGGCCCAATGACTCGTCAGAGATGATGATGATAGAAAAATATTCCTTTCTCATATATATATATAAGCACACATCTTAGGCTCATAGCTTTACTTATGGATTATCATCTTCCTTGTTTGGCGTGACGGGCCGTGGAATCGGATCATCAACGAGGGATTTACTTTCCACTCCGTTAGGCTTTCAGTCCAGTACTTCTCTACTTTGAGCTCATCCATGCAGCTCCGACTTCTCGCGTGGGGAACTTGGAAGCGGACGGCGTTCCACAATCTCCCAGCCGGGGCGATCGTGCCCACGACCACGGCCACCGCTTGGACGCAGAAGACGACCGTGGTGGACCACTTGTATTCCGATGTCCCTTTGCCGCAGAAGCTCACGCTGCCAATGAAGGACCTGACCGTGGCCTCTACCAGGATGATGCAGTTAAGGAGGCCCAAGACCCCCGAGGCCGTGCTGGTCGCGAAGCGGCCGAGCACGTACTGTGGGCTGGAAGTGTGCGCCATCAACCAGAAGCGAGTGGGTCGCGGCCGAGCACGTACTGTGGGCTGGAAGTGTGCGCCATCAACCAGAAGCGCGTCACCCACTCGCTGAGCGTGTTGAAGTCGAAACAGTTGCCATCGTCGGGAACTTGGTTGATGTCGAGCTTGTCAGTGAACTGGCTCTCGAGCAGCAGCTTGGTGGTTTGCACGGCGACGGCGGAGGAGCAGAGAATAAGGAGTAGGGCGAGGATGAGAGCGAGGACTATACAGTGCTCGGGCAGGAAGGCGTAGATGACGCCGGTGGAGATCTGGATGGCGACGTTGGAGACGAAAGCGACTAAGAAGATGGCAAGGGCGCCGAGGTTGGACGCCGCGGAGGCGAAGTTGCGGAAGGAGGCGACGGAGAGGAGCAGGTTGGCGGCGGCAGTTGCGAGGAGGGCGGAGCTGCTGAGCTTAGCGAGCTGGTCGAATCGCGAGGGCATTGGAGACGAGAGGTCGAGAGGTAGCTTGCTGGCGATGGAGAGGAGGGTGATGGTGGTGGCATTGAGGGAGAAGAGAGAGGAAGGGAACCAGAGTCTGCGACGGCAGACGGCGGAGATGGCGTCGTAGGCCATGGCCAGGGCGCAGGTGCTAGAGGCGGCGGCCGCGAAGAGCCCGACCCACGGGAGCGGCCCACTGAAGGCCGACGCATTCAGGGATAGGTCGTCGCCGCCGGCGCAAGCATGCTGCTGCATTGTCGGTGAGAGGGTAGATGGATGGATGGCGAGAGTGAGAGGAGACTGGGAATCGATAAGCTCGTTTAATATGCTGTGCAGGTATGGAATCTATAGCTGCATGTTGTTTATAGGAGGATAAATGTGGGAGAGGATTTTTCGTAGAGCGGGACCGATATATATTATTCACATGTTGGCCACATGCTGTTCATGTGACGGTCTATACGTTATGGATACATACAAACACCATGCAAGACGTTGCAAGCCAACACATATATAACATCCATTGTTTTATGCTATGACTGTAGAATCAATCAAGATAATCCAAATGCTCCTTCCTTTTAAGTAGGAAAAGTAATGTGTTTTATATGATTACCAGAACAAGACGGTGCATAATTGTTTAATAACCAAAATAAGTCTTTGTTGTCTAAAATTGTTTTGCATTAGAAACAATACAAATTCTTCAATGTCGTCATATATAAAAACCCTAACAATGCCAAGAATTTTCAGATCTGAGCTTAATTGTATATAAAAGGCTCTCTCTCTCTCTCTCTCTCTCTCATGTGCCACATATGCTTCTCAGAGGTCAAACAATAAAACTTCTTCGGTAATTGTTCTTATCTTCTATTCTTTTTTTTATGGTATCAGAGCAGTGAGAAAAGCGAAGTTTCGCTCTTACCTTTGACCAACGACCAACGTCGTTGAGAAAAGCGAAGCTTCGCCTTTGTCTTCGGCCAGCGACCAATGCCGCTGCAGCCACATTCTTAAGAGGCTCCACGGCCAATCCTCATCTTCCTCATCGCGGTAGCCTTCGCTGCCTTCGCCGATCTGCCAACAGTCGGTGGACTTAAGGAGAACGAAGTGCGGACTTAAGGAGAACGCCTGTGCCCTCACAGCAACAGCAATCGCAACAATAGCAACGATCTGCTCTTGCCCTACTCACGAAGTCTCTCGCTTGTAAATCATTCTTTGCATCGATCCCTGATTGGTATCCTTATCAGGAGCACCATCTTACGGGGGCATAATAGAAGATAAGATTTCCTCAACTATATGAGAAAATCTCTTTATTCTGTTGAGAAAAATTGTTTATTCTATTGAAAAAAATTCTTTCTCCTAATCTGTATAAATATGAGAGGGAACATGTTAATGTATTGAAGCATTCTTCATTTCTTCAATAAAACTTCTTCACTTCTTCGATAAAACTTTTTTAGTAATTATTCTTATCTTCTATTTTTTTTTATCACTTCTATCTTCCTGACACAAGGTCAGATCCAAGGCCTGGAACTTTTCGGTGCCTTTTAAGATGATTCTACGTTTCCGCCTGCAAGAATCCAGGAGAACCACGACGACAGAAGACTTCCATGGGTGGGGTGGGGTGGACAGATCGGAAAAGAATCTATGACGAGGACGACACTACTAGACGATTGGATGGGATCAGAAAGAGGCATCCTGCCTGGGTTGACTTGACCGGAGTCAACATTTGGCACTCTTCGTTGTCAGAGGGGCAGATCGCGTGACGTGCCCCCTCAAAAAGACGCACTTACTCCTCTGTAGCTTATTTGGACTCTTCTTGCATGCAACTTGTTGTTCGGGGATCCGCATCCGTATCCGTATCCGGATCCTGACATCCTGGCATTCCATCGTGCACGTAATATTCTTTTTCTCAATATTCTGGTCTTTGACGGCACGAGTTCGTAGATTAACTTTTGTTTTTATCTTTTGCTTATGCAAAGACCTCAGTATTATTTTTCATTTTTCGTAAAACATTCATAATTCCAACGATTGCTTGGTGTTTTTATCTTTTTCCCACCTCAAAATTATTATTATTTTTTTGCCATAAAGCATCCATACTTTTTTTAATAACAAATGTATCTTAAATCACTCTCTTATCTTTTTTCTTTTCCTCATTCCCTCACTTTGAAACTCATTAAATGATTTTTTTTTCTTTTCTCGAGAGGTCTCCCCAACTACCCCCTCCAAGGAGAGAGAGAAATGGTAAGAAAAAGATAAACAAACGGACGAGAGAGAGAGAGAGAGAAAGAAAGAATGAGAAAAATAAAAAAAGTAATTAATAAATAACAAAATCAATTTCCTTCTATATATATATATATATATATATCTACGTTTAGTTAGCTCATAATAATTTGAAGACTTGGTTTCAACATCTGCTATTTCATACGACCGACCAGTAGCCACCGTTTCACACATAAAGTTTGTGCTCACGAAAACTCCACACAGGACCACGAAGATAGATCTGATGACACCGTTCTGAGCATAAACACTCATTATATGCACATTAAATGAAACAAAAAAAAAAAGGATGAAAAGGAAAAACAAACCTACTGATTCCCATCACTTTTCCTCCCTCAGGTGAGGGGAAGCAGCTCAAAGTAGAATGTAGGATGTCGGGAAAAAAGGGGGACAAGATAAAAAGAAAAAAAAATATAACATGCTGCAAGAATGCTGGGGACTCTCTTGGATGCCCACTTCTTTCTCCATCTTAAACATGCTAACTAGTAACTTACGGTCATCCTCGTTCACGAGTTGGCTACCCTGCTACCATGAAAGAAAAAGCATCTTAGACGATCGCGATTGGAATATCACCGTTGTTACTAGGAATCTGCTTCTGAACAGCTTTCACTGCAGCAACTCTAGCTGCATTAGCTGCTTTATTTGCTGCTGATACCGATTTGTTCACCCTGTCATCAACCTTTGGTGCATCATAAGCTGTCTCAGCTGCTCTCCGTGCTTCCTGAAGATAAAAAGTGAACTATCATGTTGATCTACATCAAACATCTATCCATAGGATATTACGACTAACAAACACAAAAATATTTGCATCATTTTTTATTGGTGCATCGAATGGAAAAAAGAAAACCATTACCTGAACTGCGTTTAGTACTTTAGAATGGTTAACGGCAATTGGTGATCCAGGATTGGTGCTCTGGGTGCTCAAAGTTTCTAGCAGACCATTTTGCCAGTGACCTGACTGTGTCTCCCCATTTCTGAA